GCAGACACATTGAAATAAATTAAAGTAGGAGAGTAACTAAATGAAAAATAAAAATTCATGATTATTCATGAATTTTTCTTTTTTGTTTCTTAACATTTATATGTGTAATAAAGATGTAATTATTCTTATAAAAAATATTCAATCATTCCAATTTAGTAATGATTGGTTTCTTGGAGGAGGAATGCTCATTATCCATAATATATGTATGTAGGGCCGTGTCATAAGGGTTCATACGAACTACATACTTTTTACATACGAACTACATACACATACTTTGGTAAAATACATTAATTATCATAAATTAATATCCTTAATTCAAATTGATTGTGACAATAAAAAGTGTAGATTTATTTGCAAAAGTACTCATTATGTTTTAAACCAAGCTACTTTTTACAAATAGATGAGGCATTTTTTAGCGAATTTCTGGTCCAGAAGTTTTATATAATTATTAAGAATAATAAATGTTTAATTGAAATCTTAATAAGTACTTCCTAAAATTTAAGTGTTTGGTAAAATTTATCCCAAATAGGGCAGAACCCTTAACATTAAATTATGCCTTACCTCAGACCAACGAAATGTTTAAGCACTTCAATAATTAAAAATAATTCAGAGTGCATCCGATTTCATTATAAAGGATTTTGATTAAGTCTAAATATATATTTATTTATATATCACTAGCAGTACCCGCGGCTTCGTCCGCGTCCAAACTTCCGATAGCTAATAAAATTCACAGGATCACCCGCTGGGCTAATCTGAAGATTACCTGAAAATTTCATCAAAATCGCTCCAACTGTTTTGGAGTCCATAGGAAACATACATACACACATCGATTTTTATGTTACTTATTAAAAAAATATTATTATTTTTTGCTCAGAAAATGGACTCTTTTATTAAAATTTAAACACACACCGACTGCAGCGCCACCTACCGGATCCATTTGTGAATTCAAACCTTGCAGGGACCCACTCGAACATACACAGAAATATCATTAAAATCGTCCCTGCCGTTTAGGAGATGATCAGTGGCACACTGACTGCAGCGCCACCTATCGTTATATGTTTTTAAACCGTCCAGGAGCCTATTGAAATATACACACAAAATTTGACCCAAATCGGTCTAGTCCTTTAGGAGGAGTAGGTTAACTAACACACGTACAGAAGAATTATATATATTAAGATATTAGGGTGACGCAAAAATACCGACAATTTTTTTTCGTGTCTCGTATGAAAATATGTTAGTTTTTCATATTTTAAGAGCCTCCTTAAAAAGTCAGCACAAAAAATAACTTTTTTAGAGGTCGCTCACAATATTTTTTAATTTTCAAAATAGTAAAAAAAAATTATTATTATTATTTCTTCTTATTTTATTATTTTCTAAATTAAAAAAGATTTCAATTTTGAAAATTTCAAATCGATATTTTAATTCCTAAACTTTTTCTTCACTAGCATTGCCCGCGGCTCCGCCCGCGTTCAGATGACCAAAAAGTAAATTCTTGTTTTTACATATTAGTATACTCTTACATTGCAGTTTTTGTATTTTTTCTCAGAAATGAGACATTTTCTTGCGGTAAAAAGTATCCTACGAGTATATGTTGACCCGGATAACCAGCTATCATCATACCAAATTTCATCAAAATCCCTCCAGTGGTTTTTTCTGTGATGCGTTAACAGACAAACAGACAGACAGACAAAAGTTCTAAAAACTATAGATTCGGTCTCTGTATCTATAATAAAGTTTATTTCAATCAGATTTTCTAAAAAGTATTTAATGTACAGATTCGGCTTAATTACAATTTTATTATTTGTTTAGATTATTTATATATCATATCGTCATATTAAAGACTAATTTAATTTTTTTAATAATTATTATGTTTTTCAATTTGAGGATTACGTATCTTGAAAGAAAAACATGGAAATGTCTATCTTTCTCTCATAGTTTATTGAAATATCCTTCATGGAATATAATGTGGTAAATAAATGATTAAAATATTTTTTTAATTTCTACTATTTATTTAGGACAATAATAAAGAAAACTAAAAGATGTAAAGTATTAAAATTAAAAGGGTAATTTAGACAAAAATAAATATTTTTTAATATTTTGAGCACATATTACTTATTTGATTACTTTAAACTAAATATATAAACATATTTAATTATTTGTTTTATATTTATGTAAAAATAGCATTACTAAGCACCAGCAGAATGGCACCAAAAGGACTTAAAGTAGAGTTGAGATCCATCAAGGGGACATTACTATAAGTTAAAACGAATGCGAGTTGAATTCTTTGAAATTTTTCATTCTTGAATTTCCACAATATTAAAATTTATCGTCTTCAGCGTACAACTCAACATCATATTCCCAAAGGCTCTTTACCTTTAATCTAGGACAGGTGAAATAAAAACTAAGATTTAAAATATATTTGACATGGAAAAATAAAATTTACATATGCATATCAGGCATTGGAAAGTGGCCAGAGCTAAACTACGTTTCACTTACAATCTTAGGGCTTTCACACATTTTTTTATATCAATATTTAATAAGTGCTAGCGACTTACTCCCACCTAGATTGAGTGCAACTCTAATTACCTAACAGAAACCTATGTAAATAAATATATATATATATATATATATATATATATATATATATATAATATATATATATATATATATATAAATAAATATGTTGGGACATTAACACACATCACCATCTAGTTCCATGGTAAGCTACGAGGCCTGTTTTATGGATACCAGATAGTTGATACACTACACATATATAACTTTAAATACATACATATTATAAATAAAACCACCCATGACTGGAGTACAAACATTCGTGCTCATCACATCACACACCACATTCATTCAACATTTGATATAGTATTTGAAATATAACTATCAGCCCTTGCTTAACTTTGGTCATCACTACAGCTCCTACCAAATTAGTTTTTATATTATAGATTTTTTGGTTTTTTTATTATATTAAACATAATTATTGAAGGCAGTGGTAGTCTAGTGGCAACGTGCTCGTTTGAACTAAGTACAGCGAGTTTAAATCCCGGTTCTTGCATCTCTGATATTTCTATCTGCGAATCATTTAAAACATGATTACCAATTGCCTTACGGCGACGGAAAACATGCAGAAACCTGAATGTCTGAGAGAACCTCGCAAGTTTTCGAAGTACATGTAAAGTCCGCCAATCAGCACTTGGTAATCTTGGTAGACTATGGCTTGATCACCCTCGTATTGGAAGGAGGTCAGTTAAAAAGGTCTATATAATACAACTATTAGATACGTCAATTTGATTATTCAAGCTATATACTGGCTTTAACGGAGACCTGAATTAGTTAAAAAATATTTATTTTTAATATCAATCTGTATGCAAGTAGCCTTATTTGTACAGTTCGAACGAAAATTGAGGCTGCTATTGAAATTGCATTGAAATAGCAATATCGTCTCTTGTAATATGTCTATGGGGCATAATGTGTGCAGATTTAGCAGTACTCGTAAAAGAAATTATAGGGATCAATACTGATTTCATATACAGTACACTGTGCACCGTGTGACTGTGACCGAGCTGCAACAGTGGACGTGTTTCGGCTGAACCGAAGCGACGATGATACTATTTGCCTTATTGTAAAGGATAATATTGTAAGGAAACCTGCCCATCTGAGGAAATTTAGCAAGTTTTCAAATGAGAATATGCACAGTCCACCAACCCGCTTTTGGCGTGGTGGACTATGGCCAGAACCACCTTCAAAGGGAGGCGTGGCCAACAGTTAGATATTAAAAGAGCTGAGTATACATACACGCACATGTATTATTTAATTCTCGTATACGTGTGTTTGTAATGATCCTACTAAGCAGCTTGACCGATTTTGACGATAATAAATAATCGTTTTTTGTTTATATCAATGATTATATATAGGCGGCCCAACCTGGATAATTTTTACATATATTTAGACCAGGTAGGTGGCAATATTGTCGAGATCCAGAAAAAATATAAAAAGCGCAATTACAATGGAAAAAACAATCCACCTTTAATCGGGTCATATAGGTTATATATAATAACTAATACTCTTCGATGCTGTATGTAAGAGAGATAAATTAACAAACATGCTATTTTGCCTTACTGGAAATTAAAAAGATAATAACAGTAATAAACATTGTAATTGAGGAAAATATTTACTTCAGCAATCAAGTTAATTGCTTTATTTTTTCTACATTGCAAGTGAGATATAAATGTTGGACATATTTTATTAAAAATGTACTCACGATTAATGTAATAGTGTCTAGTTTTTAAAAAGAAGAAGTTATATCTATTGATTACAAACGTATTAAATGTTATTTTAGCAACAAAATTGGAGTTTTTATTCTATTAAAAAAAGAGAAAAATCTGGAATCGACGAGTAAATATATATTTTTTATATAATAATTATCATACCAACTTTATACTACAGACAAATCAATTTTTATCATTGTCTTTTATACTTGTTTTAAATTACATTCGTATGTCTCGAACCTACGTATTGTACATATCTCAAAGTTGGTTTTTTTCCAATTGGAATTAACTAGTAGATTTGAGCCACAAAAATCTAATACTACCAAAAAAAAAGTAACTAAAAACAAACCCTGAATTAACTAATTTTGAGTAGGCGTCAGACAAACACGCCGAATTTTGTTAAAAAGTGCTTATTAGTAGATATTTAACAATAAGTTAATAGAATAGAAAGTAATGCACGCATTTCTGATGTATTGTTTATGCCTAATGGCAGATAATAATATTATGTTTGTAAAGGTTATTATGATAAAATAAGTGATTACGTAGTCGAACAATTCTCAGTCAGTCGTATCGATATCTCTAAAGTGAGTGGACTACAGTTGATTAATAATGTTGTTTTTGTTATTAATAATATGTACAATAATACTAATTATAATATATATAAGGAGAAATAAAGATTATTGGAAAAAACGCGGAATTTTTCAAGTTCATGGTGTCGCAATGAAATTTTTTTTTAGTAAACGATCGATTTCAGAAATTTATAAAGAAATTTTCGATGAACACCCAACACTGAGTCATATTGGTACTTTTATGGGAAGACCAGTTCTCATAATCAAAGACACAAAAGACCTACAGTCAGTTTTACAAAGTGATTTTCAAAATTTCAACAGTCGCGGAATTAATAGTAATCCAAATGACATATTAAGCGACAATGTTTTATTTATGGAAAACTACGGACGGTGGAAACTTCTACGCCATAAACTCTCACCGATTTTCACTAGAACCAAGTTAAAAAATATGTTTTACATTATGGATAGATGTGCTCAAGATTTTATAACGTTCATAGAGGATAATAAATGTGTAGAACGCGATACTTATAATACTCTTTATAATTATACTACATCTTCTATAGGCGCCGCTCTGTTTGGCATCGACGCACAAACTAAAAGTACTATGAATTCTCCATTTATAAGCATGGCACGAAGCTCAATTGAGCCTTCCTTAAAAGCTAATCTAAAGGCTCTGATATCTAATGTATCGCCGACACTATTTTATCTACTTGATTTAAAATTATTTGGAGATCATGAAGAGTTTTTCATAGGTACCGTTAAAAGAGTTTTGGAGATGCGCAGGCGTGAAGGGGATAAGGATAAACGTCACGACTTTATTGATATGTGTTTAGAATTGCAAAGCCAAGGAATTATGCAGGATGCAACAACTGGGTATGAACTAGAAGCTACTGATGAAGTATTAGCAGCTCAAGCGTTTTTCTTCTTCCTGGCTGGTGTCGATACTTCGGCTTCGACCATGCACTTCACTTTACTTGAATTGGCAAGTAATCCAGATGTCTTAACAAGAGTTCATAATGAAATAGATAAAATGTTCGACGAGAGCAATGGAAAACTAACATACGAAGGGGTTGAAAAACTAGAATATTTAGATATGGTGCTTAGCGAATCTTTAAGGAAATATCCACCAATAGGCGCAATTCAAAGACGTTGTACAAATTCAACGATTTTACCAAGTGGAATTAAAATAGAAAAAGATGATATAGTTGTTATACCAATATATGCGTTGCATCGTGATGAAAAATTATTTCCCCGTCAATCGGTATTTGATCCGGAACGGTTTTCTCCAGAAAACGTATCGAAAATAGCTAAATTTAGCTATTTACCGTTTGGGGAAGGAAATCGCATGTGTTTAGGTAAGTAGATTCGATAGATCCAAACAACTGAACTGAACAAATAAGTTAAATATTGTGTCCCAGTTATTAGCGCCCGCCTCACAAGCGTCGTAAATGGCAAAAAACTTAATGCTACACATATTAAAGAAAAACAAGCCCAGCAACAAAATCATAAATAAAATATTGCACAAGAATGATGCAATAATAAAAATAAATCACAATTTAAAAAATATATCGACTATATAACTCTTAAAGGAGAATAAACTTAGTATCTATACTTCTACTAATATTATACATCTAAACATTGTGTTTTTTTTTTCTTATTTTGTTTATTGGAACGCGCAGAATCTTTGGTACTTCTAGATAGATTTGAATTTTAAAGCATTTTATATCTTATTTTGACGACACGTTTAGCTCAATCTGTAGTGACACTACTTATTGTCCCAGTGGTCGCGGGTTCGAGTCCCGCTAGGGGCATTCATTTGTGTGATGAGCATGAATGTTTGTACTTCAGTCATAGGTGTTTATATTCATAATATGTATGTATTTAAAGTTACATATATGTAGTGTATCAACTATCTGGTATCCATAACACAAGCCTCGTAGCTTACCATGGAACTAGATGATGCTGTGTATGAATGTCCCAACATATTTATTTATTAAAGATTAAGGGCTATTTAACACCATACTTGGAACCTTACAAGATGACGCGGGTAAAAGTTAGTTATAAAAGAAGGAAGATAGATACCCATAGTTTTTCCATAAAATATTTCAAATCAAATATACAAGTTAAGATGTAAAAAACTAGTAATATGTATAACTAAATCGCAAAAAAGGTCTTAAATAATATATATTTTATTACAGGAACAAGATTTTCTCGAGTACAAATAAAATCCGGGTTAGCGTGGCTCCTTCGAAAGTATACTTTAAAAGAAAAGAAATATGAACCAATATCATTTGCACAGAGTCTTTTTAGTGTGAGAGATGAAAAAGCTAATTTCGAACTTATACGAAGACTGGGTAAATAATATTATTTTAATTAATATAAATAATTGTTATTTAATATTATTAATAAATAAGTGCGCTTAATTTTATATTAATAACATATATTATGAATTTTTCATTATTAATCAAAATGTTTGTTTTTATAATATAAATTGTTTATATGGAAAATAAAAAAATTATAACACACTAGACGACATTTTTATTTTATACACTTTGAAACTAAGCAAATATATTATGGTATAAATAAAATTAGTTTTAACTTTTTCTTAAATATATTTGAGATTTAATATTATAATGTAAAACTTGAAATCTCAAAAGCTAAAGTCACATAATACTTTGCATGATGTATTCTAAGAAAGGTTTTAAGTGTAACACAAGTGAACTCTCTATTCCTGTCATTCTCATACTCCGGTGCAACAACTACTCGACACGACCAGTGAGAGTTAAAGCGCAGGACCGACGGCTTTACATGCTCTCCGAGCCACGGGAGTAAAACTCAGCAAACTTCCGAACTCTGGAGTATTACTGAGATTTTTTTGACAGAAATACTAAATATCTGAACCTAGCCGGACCCATGACTCGAACCCAGGACTTCAGTTTCTGCGACCGTACATGCTAGTCACTAGACCACCGAGGTTATATTAATGTTAGTGCCTTTATAAAAAAATGTCTGCCTAATACATCTATTGTCTGACATCAGCTCGGCCTGTCCGTTGGGATAGATTTATATTCAATTCCACGTTTTCCTGCTTGGTTACCATCCGTTACGTAAATATAAGAGCGGATAGCTTTGGGACACTAAAAACCTCGAAGGGATCGGTAGAATTTTCGTTATATAAAAATATATTGGAAATCAATGCTCTTTCCTTCTAACTTAGAATAATGATAGGAACATTTCGAATTTATGACACCTGACGGAAAAACATTGTATCTCAGTGTTTTAGAATTTTTAAATTGGATCGTAAATATGTATACGAGAATTTGACCTATTTTTAAATCATCTCAATACAGGTGTCGATATTTTATTTTATTAAAGAAAATTGAGCTTTATAGAATTTTAAGGGTTCCATTGTCAAAGGGTAGGCATCTTATTACTAAACTTACACGGTCCTCTCCTTTTATCCTAAATTAAAAAGCCTCACCTTTTGAACCGGAACTTGGATCGGATGTATTAAGAAGTTAAAAATAAATAATTTGATTATAAAAGTTTTATGAAAATTTTGTTATTACTTCAAAATATTATGTTTAAATAATATAATTTTACATACGTACAAATCTAAGTACAATAGGTAAAAATAAACTTTATTACATATTCTTATAGAGATATTATAGGACACAAGTATCCACTCAAACACAAGGGTATCTCTATTCCTGTCACTCCCATGCTCTAGTATGATAAAAAAGCAATGCTATAGGTGAAAGGTTAGGCGCAAGAGAGACGGTTTAGTGCTCATCGTCGCGCAATAGTGTAATCCCACCAATTTCCTATCTTCTAGCTGGTACTGAGTATTGCTTGATAGGAAAACCCTTGATAGGAATAACTATACTTGGCCCGACTCGGGACTCGAACCCTGGACCTCCGGATCTACAACCGTACTTAAGGACTTATATTTTATTTTAAGCTATTATACATTTTATATATGTATAATAACATATAATAGTATAAGAAAATTATATATTATGCTATTATATTTATGTCTATATGTCTACATAACAATTCCCCTAACGAAGTTTACGAATCATTCAATAGGTAAGCAAACGCCTATACAAATAGCCTCAACGACTATTACAAGTGTTTGGATACAGATTGCTTTATTATGTGAATATTATTAAGGTACACACTATTGCTTGTAAGAAAATATAAATTTGATTAGATAGTAATCGAATCTGAATATTTTAAACGATGCCAAAAGAGAGCTATTATATCTATATAAATAAATCAAAGTGTCTGTTTGTAATGACAAATACCAGCTTTTTACTAAATGCATGCACGGTCCTTATATAAAAAAAACCATTTTTAATATTTTGTCTGTTGGTCTATCTATCTCTCTATCCGTCTATTTGTATTAGCTAATCTCTGTAATAGCTGAATTAATTTTGATGGGGCTTTCACTGACGAATAGCTGATGTTATAAAGAGTAACTTAGGGTCGTCGTCGTCGTCGTCGTCTCAGCCCAAACACGTCCACTGCTGGACATAGGCCTCCCCCAAAGATTTCCATGACAACCGGTCTTGCCGTCCGCATCCAGTGGACTCCAGCGACTTTGACCAAGTCATCGGTCCACCTTGTGGGAGGCCTGCCCACGCTTCGCCTTCCGGTACGTGGCCCCCACTGGAGAACTTTCCGTCCCCAACGACCGTCCGTTCTACGAGCGATGTGCCCCGCCCACTGCCACTTGAGCTTGGATATTCTGAGGGCTAGGTCGGTGACCTTGGTCCTTCTGCGTATCTCCTCATTTCTAATTCGATCTCGCAGGGAAACCCCGAGCTTAGCCCCCCTTTCCATTGCTCTCTGTGTGGCCTTGAGCTTTCTTATGAGGCCAATCGTGAGCGGCCACGTCTCTGTGCCGTATGTCATTACTGGCAACACACACTGGTCGAAGACTTTTATCTTGAGACACTGCGGTATTCGGGACGAGAGGATGTTGCGGTTTCCCGAAGGCTGCCCATCCGAGTTGGATCCGTCGATTGACCTCTTTCTCGAAGTTGGACCTTAACTTAGGGTACCTTTTGAAAAAAAAATTAGGATACCTAATAAATCAGCTAAGTCAAACAAATCCAATTGTCAAATCCGCGTGATTAGTTAGTAATCTATACTAATAAATGGAGAGCCGATTTTTTTGTTCGGTTATACTGCGATAACTACTGAACTGACCGGAATAATACTCATACCATAAGATGCAGCGTGTTCCGGAGAAGGTTTTAGTAAATGATATGTTGGTGATTAATGCTATGCGGGCGGAGCCGCAGGAAAACGCTAGTGTTACTCTTCATCTTGTTTTTGTCTTAATACTTGCATTTTACACAGTCATTGTTGTTATATTTTTCATCTATATAATGTATACATTATACATAAAGTTTTCTAAGCCTATATGAAGAAAAATAATGTATATCTACATATTTTATGGATAAGGCAAATACCGACGACCTGGTAAGTACTCTAAGCACTTTTCTTTATTAGCTCTCATGGGAGCGCTTTTATGAGATACGTCAAAGGACAAACAGGTCTCAGTTAAAGCATTCATCTATTTTTAAGTCTACGAATTCACGAACAATTTTAGTACACCTTTCTTTGACTAAAAGCTAGCTGTTTGAAATTTTTATAAAGCATTATATAAGATACTATACGTATATTGATAAAACATTGATATATATATTTGTATACATACAAAACTATGTATGTATGCAAAATTAGAGAATAATGAGTGGAAATTCTTTACTTTCCTCAAATAAATAGACACGTTTTTAGATTTCCTTATCTACATCTTGATCTGCACTACTATTATAAAGAGGAAAGATTTGTATTTTTGTATGTTTGTAACGAATAAACTCACAAACTGCTCGATCGATGTAGATGAAATTTGGTAAGAAGATAGTTTGACATTCTGGGAAGGATCTAGGATATTTTTTATTCCGGAAATCATCCTTTAAGGGGGTGAAAATGGGGATGAAAATTTGTAATTAGAATCAACTTAGAGTCGAACCCGAGCGAAGCGAGGGTGAGTAGCTAGTTAATTCGATTTAAATTATAAAATTAATAGTTAAAATTAGAGTGTCTTCTTATAATGTCAGATTTTTACTAAATAGAAGAAAAACACAATTTATAAAAATTTGGTTGTCTACCTGTTTGTTCCGGCTTATCTCCGAAACAGATGGACAGATTTTGACGCGACTTTCACTGGCAGATAGCTGTTGCTATAAGGAGTAACTAAGCCTACTTTTATTTTAGAAAAAGACTTAGGGTCTGTTCAAAAAAACCGACGGTAAATTTGCTTGTATATAAATAAATTAAGATGTTAACAAAGAACATTTCATATTGTTGACAATATAAGAAATATGTACTACACATTTATTCCCACAATAGTATAAAAATAATTCCAAGTGAAACGTGTCACACGTGCCACAACCTACAAATTAGATCAATGTTATGAGTTTAGTACCATATTTTTATCTAACGTAGAGCCCAAATAGAAAGAAGAAATTATTTTTATCATAAAAATAATTTCTTCTTTCTATTTATAGAAAAAGATTTTATTAGCTACATTTCAAAATAACTTTCATCCGCGACGCTATTCAAATATTTCGATAAGAAATAACCTGGAATACATAGTATTAGCAGAACCCGCGGCTTCAATCGCGCTAAAGTTCCAAAAAAAACCGTAAAGGGTAGGTCTCATACATACTTGCATTCCGTATTTTACCCTCTTATGGGATGAATTTCGAAAAATGCTACAACACCTATTTATTTAATTGTATGGAAGATCATTATAATACCAAGTTTCAAATAATTCTGATCATAAATATTTTTTGGGTTGTACTATAACGTTTATTCTATTGGGAATGCGATAATCTCCCGCGGTAAAAAGCCTATGTAACTCTCCAGGCTTCCAACTATCTCCAAACAAAAATCTACGCCAATCCTCCGTTTTAACGTGAAAGAACAAACAAACAAACACACTTTCACATTTATAATATTATATAAGTATGGATTTTCACCAGAATCTTCTACGCTTTGAAAGTCCCATAAATAATCCCATAAAGCTAATCGGTTGGTTTGTTTATTTTTTCGTCAGCTTTCAATAACACTGTATATGTAATTAAAGAGCTTCATTTTATTTAAATCAACCAAAGTGCTAAATACTTCTTAAAAGAAATAACACCTCGTTTTATCGCCTGAACTGGTGACAGAAGCGGCATTCCATTCAGCGGGGGAATGCGGCTAGCATTCTTGCCACTATTCCAGGCGGACATGACTTGTAGAGTAATAATTAATTATGCTTAACAGCTGTTGTGGCTATAA